TTGTGAAGCCGATCAGCCGATGCCCATTGTTGGTAGGCCACAGCTCCAGGGCGCCTAGAGTTGGGTGAGAGAGGAATGCTTGGCATTTGCTTAATTTGTGTGTGTATTTATTAAACACATGTATTGTAGTTTAAAGATACATTACTGTGAGTATTATTGCTGTTGAGCTCAATTATACTCCTTGTGACCCCGGAGTTCGCAGGCTCTGTCTCGTGAGTCAGCCATTATGGTGCACATTGGAGTGTGCCACAGAACGGTCACTTGTATTGTGAGAAAGTCCAACAGCATGACTGAGGGGGGAGTGGAGACTGTGTGGGGTCCTCATTCTTGTCTCAATCCTGTACAAAATCTTTGAAACATGACCCCTTTGTAATAATTCTCTCTTCCCTTTCCTTTATAATATTACAAAGACTGGACACTCAATTTTATGTCCTCAGTGAGTACCACTTTTCTCCAAAATTCATTACGTCACTGTCATCTTGAGAACTTACCTGGCTCCACCTTGGGACTCCAACTTTTAAGCTTTCCACAATCATCATATATACACACTAAACATTAACGTAAAGCAACTGGGACAGTACTAGATGGTGTAAACTGTTCACTAGAACATTATTGGGCTTATTACTTTTTAGCAAAATCTTGAAGCAAAATTAAAATGAATGCCATTGAGGGAATGTGTGTGCTGAAGGAATAATATTGTCTTGGCAACACAACTTACAAATGATTCATCTCCTGTGGGAGAAGAAAGATATGTGAGTAATTGAGAAACACTGAGAATTAGATATGTGTTAGACAGATCCAATCATGAATTGGTATTTCAACTCCCTGTGACTCGCCTGTCTAATAATGGCAAAATAATAAAATTAAACAAGTCAAGATGGGAAAAAATATTCTGGATTTCAAAGGTTGAGGTAAATATATAAAATTTAATAATGTTTTATATTTTCTTATAAATGCATTCCATAAACTATTTGCCTTTAATGTGATTACTTTAAAATGTTGATGTTTTATGAAACAGATCCAACATGTTTACTTTAAAATAATAACATTTTATCAAAATATATAGTTTATATATAAACTATGATTTTTTGCCTATATATTTTTGAACACACCAGCTTATCTAAGAGTACCCACTCCATTGACTGTTAAAGAAATAGCTCAGTGGGCTAATGCATCATCAATAGAATCTGTTCAACCCTTGAGGATTGCAGGTTTAAATCCTGTTAGGGTAAATAAAATGAGTAACAAAGTATTCTGAATGTACCTTTCCTGGTTAACCTCTTAAGGACACACAACGGAAATATTCAGTCATGATTCCCGTTTATTTCTGAAGTTGTGTTCTTAAGGGGTTAAATACTTATTATTTACACAAACTTATTTCTAAACATGTGAAAAAATTGTATTTTGGAGAATGTTCCCTCTCCCCAACCCAAAAAAAATTGAATGGAGCACTATATTAAAAAAATAAATTGGTGTTGGGTGAGAGAGGAATGCTTGGCATTTGCTTAAATTGTGTGTGTATTTATTAAACACATGTATTGTAGTTTAAAGATACATTACTGTGAGTATTATTGCTGTTGAGCTCTATTATACACTCAGACAAACCAACAATATGAAGCTCCTAGAAAAGAGGGACATTAGGTTAGAAAAGAGGGACAAAGGGATTTGGACCCAAAATATGGACTGTTCTTCCTAAAAAAAAGTATGGCACATGCTCAACCCCTTTAATTAAAGCTGAAAATCTAAACTTCAATTGCATATCTTATGTTTCATTTCAAATCCATTGTGGTGCCGTACTGATCTAAAATTATGAAAAATGTGTCATTATCCAAATATTTCCAGACCTAACTGTATGTAAAATATACACAAAATTCAGTTAATTTTATCTCAGTATGAAAAGTACGACACTCTTATGTTCTTGAAAAATAGCATAATAATTTGGCTGCAACAGAATTAACAAATATGTTTCCTGCATTGCGTCATTAGATTGCAAATAACACCCTAAGGGTTGAACATAAATTAAATAGAAAAGTTAACCCTTACAATACCAGAATGGAAAAAATAGGAACAATAAAAGGCAAAGTGAGCAACATAATAGAATGTTAATGTGTGTAGAAAATAAACATATACAGAATTTAATTAACTTCATCATACTATAAGTACAGCCCCAATATGTTCTTGAAAAATAGCAAAATCATTTTACTGCAACTACATTAGCAGATAAATCTACTTGGAACTATTTGAAATTTCCAGTGCAAACAGACACTTAACTGGATACTAAATAGAGAGACACAACAAAATCCCTTTTCAGTCCTTTGGGCTCCAACGAATCCAAGGTATGGATCCAGAAAGCCTCATGTTTTTAAAGGAGTTTTGGCCTATCCTGCCCGCTAACTTCTATTGGGACAGGATCAATAATTTATAATTTTAACTGGGAACTTAAAGAAATATGCAGGAGCTGGTTTGTCAAGTTTTCCTCTTCAAATGTCAGAGTAGAGTTTCGATAAGAGCTCCCTAATTTTGTTGAGGGTCTAACCAACATATGTGTACTAGCATTGGCATTTTAATAAGTGTGACGAGACCAATCTCGCCACATTGCATTGGAGAAGCCTGGTTGCTCGCCTGTTGCCTTTGGATTATGGCCCCATGTTAATAAACACAGCATATCAGCACAAACATCTCATATCAATTGTCAAGCACGATGGTGGAGGTGCTGAGGTTGTTTTGCAGGCATGTTTTGCAGTCATGCAGTCATTGAGTCGAACCAAAAACAATATGGAGGATACAGCTAAAGATCGAAAAACAATAAAACATACAATAGTGTGATACAGTTTAAAAATAATCTGTGCACTAGTATAGTTGCACTTACAGGAATCAGTAGGTATTTTTCACCTTAGGGTGCCCTAACTTGGAATACTGAGGGGGGGGGGGGGGGGTGGCGGTGATCCAGGACCCCCCTTCCTTGAGAGCCGGTCTTATCACCAGTATGGCAGATGGAACTCCAAATATATTTCAAAAAAGTGCTTTATTGCATACAGTCAAAAATCATGCATAAAATAATTTTAAAAAAGCAGCTAAAGGTCCTGCACTTTTCGTCCCAAATGTAGCACTTCCTCAGGGACCAAAAGATTAAAAGCCACAATAAAAATAACAAGCAGTTTAAGCACTTTTTTGAAATACATTTGGAGTCCCGTCTTCCATACTGGTGATAAGGCCGACTCTCGAGAGCTGTGCATAAACAAATGCCAGCAAACCTCAATGAACTGAAGCAACATTGTAAAGAAGAGTGGGTCACAATTGCTCTACAACAATGTACAAGACTGATAAAGTCATACAGAAAATGAATACTTCAAGTTATTGCTGCTTAAGGTGGTTCTACTAGCTGTTGGTTGTGTGTTCTTAGGTGTACTTAGTTTTTCACACAAAGCTTCTCCATTTTGACTTTATTTTAGTTAAATAAATCATGTCATGGTGTAATATGTCATGGGTTGTTGTTCATCTATGCTTATATCTACATCATTTTAAGAACAGGTGATTTGTTATTATTTCCTGCTATGTAAACCTACATAATTCAAAGAGAGTTGTCACAGTACACCCCGAACCCTGCAGACAGCAAGGCATGGCCGCCCCTTTATGAGACCTGGCTGGATTTGAAACATCCCAGCCAGGTTCTCTATCTTGCTGTCCACTAGGGGGTTCATTGTCTGCCTGGATTCATCTGCTACCTGACTCCTTTACCTGGATGGAGCAGTGCTGATACACCTGCAGCCCCTTGCCAATTAGACTCAGCTGCTCCTAATCAACAGGCCTCTCTGCCTGAGGCCAAGTATCTGCTCATTTGCTTTTCCTGCTGGGTGTGCATTACTTTGCTGACTGTCTTCCTAGACTCTGACCTCTTCTTGCTTTTCCGATTACGATTTTCCGCTGCTGGCCCTGACTTCTGCTTCTCGTCTGACCCTGCCTTTGAATACCCCTCATCTGTACTGCACTTTGGTTTTTCCTCTGTGTGCTATCTCCTGCACCTGGTCTCCAACTCCCGGTAAGCCGTGACAGAACGACCAGAACATACTATGGAGCCCGCAGAGATGATGAATGTTCTGAGTACCCTCACACAGCAAGTGACCCTCCTGTCCCAGACTGTGAGTGAATTGCAGCATGGCTATGCTGATTTAAAGGAGAACATGCACCATGCCCCTGAACCTGATGTTGCCTTGCAGGGCTTCCTTCTGCTCCTTCATTAGACTGTGCTTAAACCCCGCACTTATGCCACAGATTTTGTTAAAGTAAGAACGGCCATCACCCTGTTATCCGGGCAACCCAAGACCTGGGCTCATCAACAGCTATATACCGAAAACCCTGTCTTGGACACCTGGGAGTCTTTTGCTACAGCCATGCATCCTTGTATGAGGACCCTCCACAGCTCCTACTTCTCTCCGTTCCCTTAAACAAGGAAGCCGTCTTGTGGAAAATTACATCACAGAGTTCCGTGTCTTGTCATCAGACACTGGACTCAATGAAACTGCCCTGGTGGACCAATTCCACATCAGATTAACTGAAATCCTGAGGGATGAACCGACACTAGTGGGAGTTCAAACCTCCCTGTAAAAATTAATGGTGCTATCCACCCAGCTGGATCGCCGGTTCAGAGAAAGAAGGCAGGAGCGATTTGAAACTAACACTCTGCCTGATCAATGCTCCAAACCTGCTGGTGAGACTTACAACCCTATCCACACCATGGAAACAGAGGAACCCATGCAGATTGGAACACTGAATGCCATTCTCTCTGTAAATGAAAAGGCCAGAAGGAGAACCGAAGGCCTCTGCTTCTATTGTGGCAAGTGAGGCCACTACATCACCTATTGCCCGATACGTCCTCTTCGCTCTAAACATGGCCATGTGGGGACTGTGTCACTACCCAGCAAGTCCTCCATGGCAGTCTATGAAGCACCTTGTATGCGACCGGACCAAAAAGACCACCTAACCAGACCATTAGCATCACCATGATCCTGGCTAACCCTGCCCCTGTTGTACAGGCTCAAAAGGAGGCCGCCGTGGCTACCTTCCAATCCCCAGCCTCTGTCTCCCCTAACGTTTCCTTTTCCAACACAAAGACCCTGTCCCCAGACTGTGTACTTGCCTCCAATGGAATCGTGGTCCGCAGGCAGGACCTTGACGCCTTTGAGCAGGCTCTAAAAACCAGAACTGCATCTGCTCAAGTGGTCAATGCATCAACCACAGTCCTTGCCACCACTGCCATTTCCAAGGATGTGGACAAGCTGCAAAACATTCCAACACTCTCAGACCCTGATGATTCAGATGCCTACACAGACCTGGAGTCCCTGTCTGAGCCGGAACTGGATCCCCTAGTTGAAGCCCTATCTGTTCACACCCCCACATACATAGAGCCTCTATAGACTTAACATGCATCATTGAGACTTACCATGAAGCAACAACTTACCCAGCCAGTATGTCATCTGGGAAGGGCGGGAGGGACAATACTTGCCTCTGTATAATTAATAAAATCACGACTTTACGTCATAAAATAGTAAAATATGGTAATTTTATTTAGACAAGGAGGCTCCTATTATGCAAGTTTAAAGCTGTGAAATGACCATTCCAGCAAAATGTTGAATCAATTTAAAATAAAAATCTCGTAACGTAGCTCGCAAAATATCTTCTAAACTGCAGCCGACTGCAGAAGCTTTATAAGTCATAGCACCATGCACTGAATGTGGAGAAAATACTGAAGTATCAGCGCCGGCTAGAGTCATAATCCATTTAACCCAGCGGACCAACGAAGGAGAGGGTACTGGAAGGTGTGGCTTATGGAAGGAGATGAACAGCTGGTGTTTCAGAGGATTCTGTAAGGAAACAGTATGACTTTAATATTCCCGTAAACATGCCACTGGGCAGAGGAGAGGTCTCTCCGGCAAAGCTAGTTAGAGAACAGACTTGGCGGAGGTGTTGGTAGTTCTAGAGATGTCAAAAAGGACTCCTTCCAGAGTAAAAGAACGGGCATCCGTGTCAAGAGCATGCACATCAGAGACTCTTTTGCATGATATGAGGCAAAAAAGCATGTCCAATTTAATGGAAAGTTGTTTGAGTGACAGCAATATATTGTCTGGCCATGACTCCAGAAGGTTGAAGACAACAGAAACGTCCCAGAAAGAAGAGTAACAAGGCAAAGGAGGATGAGAAAAATGCCAAAGCGCAGAACGGTATAGGTTGACTTTGTGGTACTCTTTCCCTGCTTCAAAAAGAAAAGTCAGAAATTGTAAGATGGATTTTAAAGGATCGATAGGAGATCCAAATCCAACCATTCCATGCATTCCAAGCAGACTTATAAATAAACAAACAAGGAATTTGAGCATTTAGACGAGAGGCGAAAAGATCTATTCCCAACGGTACCCACAGGTCTGCGATCTTTTGGAAAATTAAAGAGTCCAGATGGCAATCACTAAAGTCTTTGAGATGATGGGAGTACCATTCTGCCATGGTGTTAGAGAGGCCATGGATATATTCCGCTGTCACCGAAATGTTGTGCATAAGGCAATATTGCCAGAAATCAAGTGCCATGTTCGCCAGGACTTTGGACCTTGTGCCTCCTATATAGTTGATGTATCTGACTGCTAAAACATTGTCGATCTTCAGTAGGATTGTGAATTGGGAGTGAGTTGGAGAGAGCAAAGGATCTGGCCAGAAGCTCCAGACAATTGATATGAAGTGTGGATTCTAGATCTGACCATCTGCCTTATGTGGCGATATTTCCACAACGCGCACCCTAACCGTGTAAGCTGGCATCTGATTCTATGGTCCGGTCTGGGGAAGTTCTGAAGATAGCGCATCCATTCCAGGCTTCTATGTGGAGAAATCACCAATCAGGTCCGTCTTTCGCCTCTTGTTCTAACATCACCATGTCTTCGTATGATGCTCCGCCTCTGAGCTAGGAGGCCTGTAGTCTGTGAAGTGCCTGACAATGGAGAGTGCCTGGGAATATGGCTTGGTTGGAAGCCGCTAGGAGTCCGATGACTTTTGCCAAATGTTTGAGGAAGAGTTGGGGAGCAGCCAACATACGTCTGATTTTTTAAAAATTTTTTTTATATTTACCAACTTTGCTGTTTGTAAATATAGAGTCTGGATAGTGGAATCAACTACTCATCCAGGAACTTGAAACATTGGGAGGGAGCCAGCATGGATTTTTCCCGGTTGATAAGGAAACCTAAGCTTGTTAGCAGCATCAGAGTCCATGTCATGTGTGTGTGGAGAAGACTAGCTGACTAAGCCAAGATGAGGATATCGTCTAGATAGACTGATGCCTCAACTCCTTAATAGAGCAACCATGGGTTTCATGATCTGAAACACCATGGGGCCAATGACAGTACGAATGGGAGGCACCTGAATCTCCATTTTCGCCCTTGCCATGTGAACTGGAAATTTTTTTGATGTTGCTCCTCTGTAGGTACCATGATGTAGGCGTCCTGTAAATCTAATTTGGCCATCCAGCCCTCTGGTTGGGGAAGATCGCAAAGACAATGGTTGCCTTCCATCTTGAAATGGTGGTAGTTCAGTTGTTTTAGGTTTATGACTGGTCTCACCCCACCACTTTTTGGGGGGACCAGTAATAGTTTGCTCATATAACCTGCAATATGGGTCGGGATCTCTATGATGGCTTGTTTGCGCATCACTTATAGAATCTCCTTGGATACAAGGAGAGCATCTTGTTTTGAAAAAACTATTTCTCTGGGAGGAGATGATGGACTGAGAATGATACAAAGTCTATCTGACCCAAGCATCTGATGTCAGATGCGACCACACATGAGACACACATGCATTAATCTGCCTCCCACTACTTACCATAAGGTTGTCTTCCAGAAGGAGCTCTGCGAATGCCCCTAGCGACCCAGGGTTTGCCTCTCTGTGGGAAAAATGCAGGTGCTTTTAGGATCCACAAGTGTCATTTTACATGCATCTTTGGGGACCGTAGGGAAAGGGTATTCTGCCTGCAACTTGTTCTGTGTAGCCTTGTCCAAGCGTTTACGGACTCTAGAGACAATGCACCTCACTACATGCTCTGAAGGGCATCACTCTGCTGAACGCAGGTGTCTCAATACTTCTGGATCAAACAGGGAAAGCCCAGAGAATCCAGGATTTTCTCGCTGTCACCATACATATTAGGTAACTAAACCCCCATTATTTTTGCCTAGATTAGGTGTATTTAAAAAAAAACTAGTAAAATCTGTCAACATTGAAGTTGCTGTTTAGTGGATAGGTGAGTGCGCTGGATGTTGTGTATTGTATGTATTGTATAATTTGGGCCCCCAGCAGCACCCCATTTATGCATGTTCAGGTGAGTGCAGCCTCCCCCCCCTGTTTCTCATATATATTTGGGAGTCTAGCCAACTCCTTGGTTTTGCACCCCTCCCTGTCACAGGTGCATCATCCCAGTGCCCTATTTAGCCTTGTACTGCAGAGAGCCCCAGACGGATTTTTTTTCCCCCCCAAGTAAGTGGGTTAATCTCATAAGAGCAGACATTAGGCTGTTAGGGTAAGACTTGCCAAAGATGGGGTACATATAAGTTGTGGCTGGCTTATGCAATGTATGATCATTATTTTTGACTAGATTCGGTGTTTTTGGAAAAACTAATAAAATCTGTCAGCATTAAAGTTGCTGTTTAGTGGATAGATGAGTGCGCTGGATATTGTGTATTGTATGTATTGTATAATTTGTCCCCCAGCAGCACCCCATTTATGCATGTTCAGGTGAGTGCAGCCTTCCCCCTGTTTCTGTCACCAGAGCCCAACACACTTACCTGGGCCCTGGAAACCGTAGCGGGGAAGGTGTTGCGGGAGGAGGCGGTCGCCTCTCCCCCTGCACCGTCGGAGTCTGATTCAGTATAATCATCTGAGGCATCCATTATGGAGTCATCACTCTCCTCCTTAATATCGCTGAGATCCGACTAAGACGAATCAAGCTGAGCTTTCACTCGCTTCCATAGTCAGCCGATTTTGCCCGGCTAGTGTCTCTTTTGCGCAGTGGTATTTGTGCGCCATGTGTGACAGCAGGAAAGCTGGCTGTAAAGTCTATTTTGGAGTAACGTTTAGACTTGGCCATAGCTTTACAACCTTGTGGGACTGGTGTCGGTATGGATGCAGTCGACCGGGCAGTTGACAGGGCAGACTGTTGAGCCTGTAATAGTAGACCTGGACATTGAGGTGTCCAAAAGCTAGTGAAAGGCACTATGTCCTTTCATCCATAACATCTCTACTAGCATGTCTAAAAAAAGAAGAGGAACACAATTAATGGAAGCCAACACAAACACCACAACGATTGTTGTCTGGGAGTAAAATGTTTATTAACGTCAACCAGGCAAGGGCATACAGGTATATATCCCTGAGCTGCCCTAATAAATAATAAACCAGTATGTGAATGAGTTTACAAAATATGTTCCAAAGAAGAGGAACAGAGGTCGTTGGATGACCCTTTTAAAATTATGGCCTATCACTTTAAAGTGAAATACCCTAAATAACAACTTGCGTTAATCTGAATTCATAGATGAATAATTGATTAAAAATAGAGATAGTCTAAAGAGACAATATCATCACATAACCTATGTATATGGGAAAAATCCTTTATAAGGTGCTAGGATAAATGTCAAATGGTATGTCTACTACATGTCTCATGAAAAGGTTAACACACCACCTCTTTGGAAGATTATAAAAGTAAATTAGAATGTACCTCAGTAAGAACTTGTCAGTAACAACAGTAACAAGTTGACATTTATCCTAGAACCTAATAAAGTATTTTCCCCATATACATTGGGATAGGCTATGTGATGGTATTGCCTTTTAGACTATCTCTATTTTTAATCAGTTGTTCATCTATGAATTCTGATTAATGCAAGTTGTTATTTAGGGTTTTTCACTTTAAAGTTATAGGCTCTAATTTTAAAAGGGTCATCCAACTACCTCTGTTCCTCTTTTTTTGGAACATATTTTGTAATCTAAATTAGGGTTAGGCCCTTACCAGTTGGATATTCCCTAATTAAGAGACCATATCTCTCTTTTTCTCTACTTTCTGTGAATGAGTTTATGTTGACATGTTGTCACTGCTATTATATATAGTAAATTAATTGTTTTGAATTCTTACCAAGTTTACACATCAGTACTTATTGACGTATACTCTTTTCAGCCATGGCATTCGTTTTCATTTCAAGTAACACCACACCATCAAACGTACTGGATGAAATTCATTTTCCAGGGTGGATTTCCAAGAGGCACATTAAATACTTGCCTAGATCACAAGCTGTTTAGATGTGTGATAAATTAAGTTTTTCCAGTTTTATTTTTCAGTTCTCACAATCTTTATTGCCACCCCTCATGAAGATAATATGCTGCAGTCTTCCTCTCACTCCTC